CACTATAATCACTATAGCATTATAATCACTATAGCATTATAATCACTATAGCATTATAATCAATATGGCATTAAAATCACTATAGTCACTATAGCATTAAAATCACTATAATCAATAATCAGTAATCACTATAGCATAATAATCACTATAGCATTGTAATCACTATAATCACCGTAGCATTATAATCACTATAATCACTATAGCATTATAATCACTATTTCATTAAAATCATTATAATCACTATAGCATAATAATCACTATAGCATTATAATCACTACAATCACTATAGCATTATAATCACTATAGCATTATAATCACTACAATCACTATAGCATTATAATCACTATATTCACTATAGCATTATAATCACTATAGCATTATAATCAATATAATCACTACAGCATTGTAATCACTATAACATAATAATCACTATAGCATTATAATCATTATAATCACTGGCATTATAATCATTATAATCACTATAGCATTGTAATCACTATAGCATTATAATCACTATAATCATTATAGCATTATAATCACTATTTCATTAAAATCACTATAATCACTATAGCATTATAATTACTATAGCCTTATAATCACTATAGCATAATAATCACTATAGCATTATAATCACTATAACATTATAATCACTATAATCACAATAGCATTATAATCACTATAGCATAATAATCACTATAGCATTATAATCACTATTTCATTAAAACCACTATAATCACTATAGCATTATAATCACTATAGCATAATAATCGCTATAGCATAATAATCACTAAAGCATTATAATCACTAAAGCATTATAATCACTAAAGCATTATAATCACTATAGCATTATAATCACTATAGCATTATAATCACTATAGCATTATAATCACTATAGCATAATAATCACTATAGCATTATAATCACTATAATCATTATAGCATTAAAATCACTATAATCACTATAGCATTATAATCACTATAGCATTATAATCAATATAATCACTACAGCATTGTAATCACTATAGCATAATAATCACTTTAGCATAGTCATTATAATCACTTTAGCATAGTCATTATAATCACTATAGCATTATAATCACTATAGCATTATAATCACTATAGCATTAAAATCACTATAATCACTATAGCATTATAATCACTATAGCATTATAATCACTATAGCATTATAATCCCCACAATCACTATAGCATTACAATCACTATAGCATTATAATCACTATAGCATTTTAATCACTATAGCATTATAATCACTATAATCACTATAGCATTATAATCACTATAGCATTATAATTACTATAGCAATATAATTACTATAGCATAATAATCACTATAGCATTATAATTATAGCATTATAATCACTATATCATAATAATCACTATAGCATTAAAATCACTATAATCACTATAGCATTATAATCACTATAGCATTATAATCACTATAGCATTAAAATCACTATAGCATTAAAATCACTATAATCACTATAGCATTATAATCACTATAATCACTATAGCATTATAATCACTATAGCATTATAGCATTATAATCACTATAGCATTATAGCATTATAATCACCATAGCATTATAATCACCATAGCATTATAATCACCATAGCATTATAATCACTATAGCATTATAATTACTATAGCAATATAATTACTATAGCATAATAATCACTATAGCATTATAATTATAGCATTATAATCACTATAGCATAATAATCACTATAGCATTAAAATCACTATAATCACTATAGCATTATAATCACTATAGCATTATAATCACTATAGCATTAAAATCACTATAGCATTAAAATCACTATAATCACTATAGCATTATAATCACTAGAATCACTATAGCATTATAATCACTATAGCATTATAATCACTATAGCATTATAGCATTATAATCACCATAGCATTATAATCACCATAGCATTATAATCACCATAGCATAATAATCACCATAGCATTATAATCACTACAGCATTATAATCACTATTGCATCATAATTATTATAGCATCATTCTAGCACTGTGAATCAAAACAACATTTTAGCATGCAGCAAGATGGATTTTAATAGTCACTGAATAGTTTACAAAAATCATTTTTCATAGTACATAATTATTAGACATAGTTGATTTGGGTTGATTATGCATTGACAACATTTTTGATCGGATGCATAGCTAGCATAGACAAAGTTATTCTGGTTCTCATTTCTCAAAAATACTTCTGATAAAAAATTGTCGTAAGATTGGAATATTACGTTGGGAAATACCACACGAACGACAGACATTTATCAAGATTTTTTGAGAAACGGGGCAGTTTAAGCTCTGATAATATGAACAATTAATACATGCACATTTATGTAAATTTATGTAAATGTGATACATGATATTATAGATAATTTGCATACTTCACAACAAAATGAAAATAAATTATGTTCCAATAAATTTGAATAGAAAACTTCACTATTGCACAAAAAAACTCAATGGAAAAACTTTACAAAATATAATCCGAGCATGCATAGAAATATATCCCATAATTTGCATAATTTTATAATTCATAACAGAATGTACATTGCAAGGTTATATAAAAAACAGTTATATATATTTCGACAACAACTTTAACTAGGGTATTTGTTTCTCAAAAAATTGAATGATAAAAATTTCTTGTAAGTGCTAAAATTTACGAGTTCTGATTATCATAAGAAAAAATGGAGAAACGTAACCTAGTATAATATACAACTCAACTTCAAAATGTTTCCAATAACCCCAAAACAAGGAGGTTCACATGCATTTTTGAATTTTTGAATCATTCTGAAATGCAAACGTATCCCAAAGAGGGAAACAATTTTTCGAGTTTTACAAAATTATAGTTCATATGTACATAAATACAGACAAAGAAACAAATTATAATTTATAAGTTTATACATATAATTTACATTTTATAAATATTATGTCATCAAAAAAAAATTCAAAATACCCTTTATATGAATTATAGACGTGGCTTCTTCAAAATTCTTTCGAGGAGCCACTCATTAAATATCACTTAGCTTTAGATGTATTGGACACTGCGTTGTTGATGGAGATGAATTTGATTGGATTATTTAAGAGCTTGTGAGGATATTCTGACGAATGAAAAGTTTTGTCTCAAAAAATTACGTTAATGATTTTGAGACGCTATTTTTCATTGGTCAAAAAATCTAAAAGACCTCAGGATGAATCCAATCAAAATTGACTTCCTCATCAACAATATTATGTCCAATACATCCACAGCTAAGTGATCTGTAAGAACTGGGTCATTAATTCTGATGCTTGAATTTCAATGAAGGTCCAATGTAATCTGCAAATTTGATCATAAAATATAGGAATATTGGAAAATTAAAGCCATGTGGACTCTCCAAAAGAGTAAGCCAAATGGAAAACCTCGTGGAAGAGTGGTGACAGGTATATCAATAAATATAAGGAAGATTTCAAGATTTATAAAAATTTTGGAAGTATGTATAGCAGTTGTCCACGGAAGCACTGTTTCTAATAAAGGCAATACAAATAATGCTGATGGTTACACTGCTTTCAAGATATGCAGAATAATTATAAGAAATTTCATTGGTCAATTAAGCAACCAATCAGATTTAAAAATTATAGTATCATCAACTAATAAGATCACGGAATTTACCTAAAATTTTGATAAGATTTGGAAAAGAATTTGTGATGTTTGTAATAGATTTTTCTGGTAGGAAGATCCATAAATATAAGGAAGATCCAGTATATACGGAAGATCCATAAATATAAGGAAGATCCAGTATATACGGAAGATCCATAAATATAAGGCAAATTCACATCAAAGGGTCAACATTAACATTAATAGAGTAGATCACATGCTAAATTTACTACATGTCCATATTAGGATATAACACATTGTTTGTTTTTTGAGCGACGATGTCTCTGTCGAGGTTGTAATGTCCGTGAACGACCTATGGCCATATCATCAACATACGAAATACGAGGTCCAGCAGGCCGGTCGTAAAAATAGTCAAACTCATCCGAATCACTAGAACTAGAACACGTACTACAACTATCTTCGTCATCATAGTAACGATAGCGACGATACTCTGTTTCCGGGGAGCGGTGACGTCTGGTGTGTCGATGACGATCGTGGTTCCGTCTTTCTCCTCGATGACGATGATTTTCCACAAAGTTGCTTGCATTTGGTCTTCCTTCGAAGCTTCTGCTTCGTGGGTACCTCGCTGAAGACCCCCGAACATGTGACCTTGAAGGTGGACGAGAAATTGGATTCATTTTAACGTCGTCTGGTAAGGCAATGTTAGCAGCGTTCCCACGGATATGCATGTTTGATGGAGGAAGCTCAGGATAGGATCGTATGATTGTTGGACTATGTTGTCGTCTGGGTAACGGAGGAGGGGGAGGTGATTGTGGATCCTCGTTGATATCCAATTGATTCATTCGACAACACGCGTCCATTACTTCACCAGAAGTAGGCTGAATTGAAGTATAGTGATGATTGATGCACAAATCTTTCTCTGATGCACTTCTACATGAACTGTGACTGCTGGGTCGATCAGAGCTGGGTGTTTCTGGCAACTCATCATTGGTTAAATCTGGCATCGAAAATTGAGACAGCCGGTTTCGTGTCCTGGCTTCCTGGTACGTCGTGCTGTCTGCACCGATTTCCTGATAATTAAAGGAGTAGACCATTTCAGGCTCTCCTGACATATGTCCTTGAGTACTTTCATAAAGTCCTGGTGCGTACACCTCACTGTTGCTACTAGTAGCGTACCCCTGATCTTTATCAGAAGGGGGGTTGCTGTCTGATATCGTATACTGTTTACGCAACACTTCATGTATGTCCATATTGCCTTCCTGCATCACATGACTAATAGGGGAACTAACTCTAACAGCCTGTATATCCTGTAAATAGTCTTCAGGTCTACGAGGGGTCTGTGTCTGCATAGATCCAGCACGAGAACACGCGGCAGAGCAATATATCACACCGTGTTTGGGTAAAAATGGTTGTCCTAGCAACGACTTCTGACACGTATGACACTTAAAACATTGTTCCGTTGCGTGCCAGTGTTGACCTTCATGGGTCATTTGTCCTTGATCCACTCCAATATGGTCTCCACATGTGTCACAATATTCGGCAAACATTCGTTGAAAACACTGACAACAATATGGCCGCCCTTGACGCATGATGTAGCGTTGTCCACCCAACTGTGCATCACACTCAAAACAGCAGAAATGCTTCATGTGCCATGACAATCCTTCAGCTTCCGTGCACTCATCTGCAAATATTATCTGAAATAAAATACCAAAACATCATTAGCTAGTGGACTACCAAGTTTCAGAGAGGCATCAGGAAGAGGGTCGTCATGTCTTGCTTGTACGTCTTCCACAGTATTTGCTGGAGTGGAGCAGGTCTGTTTCTTTTTCTGTGAGACATTCCATTTCTAATCATTGCTTAGTCCCGTACGGCGCCATCTGGCACAACTTGCCTATACATTGAATCCTGCTCATGCGACCACCTTTTCTAAGCAACCACCTTCAATATGCGACCACAATAAATTCCCCCCTACGACTTTTAAATATAATTAACGACTGGTAAGAGACAACCTTCATTACGCGACAAGCGACCAGCGACCAAGTATTGGGAATTATTGTGCCTCTAATTTTCAAATTTGAAGAAACAATTAATTGCTTAAGGTCACAAAATTGGGCAATGCATCTCCAAATGTTATGTTTCTTACCTCATCACATGCAGCACATCTCGGCTTCAAATTCTCAGCATGGTGACGTCCACAAAATAACTCTCCATCTTTAAAGAAGTAGATCAGATCAACCAGTAACTCTCCGCATGTTGAGCAAACGAAACAAGATGGATGCCAGCATCGTTCGTGACCAGCTCTTGCTGCAAAAACAGCCATATCACCTCCTGGGATCTCATTGTGACACTGAAAAAATAAATTCAAAAATATATTATTCCGACGTTTGTGATGTCTGTATGAATAGAATGATGCATGAATATGGTGATGCACACACAAAAACAAAACAAAAATAGTGTAATAACTTAGGTTTACATGGATCCTTTCTACTAGCTGGTCCTTGGCAAAGCATGTGCCAATTAAAAAAAATGTCAGCATCAAAAGTTGAATCTTCAATGCATTAGAACTCGATTAAAAATTTTGAGAACCATAGTCCAGTTTGAAATTTTTCCACTTACCCGCGTGCAGATGGTACCCTGCATTGTGAGTGGAAGGGGACGGACACTGCCACGCCCCAGGCACTCTCGTTTTCGTTGAGCACTGAACATTCGTAACTCTCGCTTCTCCTCTTCTGATAGGCTGTTACAATATCGTACCTCATTATCATGGGGAGGCAACTGTTGTAGTAATTGTCGAACACGATATTTCTCACCGTTACTGTTTAAATACGGAACCTTGTCATCTGAAATGGCTCCAAAATATTGATGAACCTGAAATATACAAATAATATAAACATTAATCATTGGAATAAAGTTATTATCTTACACGAAAAACAATAGGTTCTGAGGACCATGTCTAACAACTGGCCAAACATTTAAGCAATATTAAAACAGAAGATTGCCATATCTATTTTGACATAAGTGTGTTTTGTCATAAGAATTTAAACATCAAAGCTATAAGATTTACAACCCTTTTCTGAAAATCAAGAAAAGCTCAAATTTACCACAGCAAATAGCTATGACTTTCTAAATTGTGCACAAACATTTAAATTTGAGAGAAAAGAAGGAAATGAAAGGTCGACAGGTAGGGTTGTGATAAAAACCAGCTTGTATAATGTTTATTTATTAAGATAAGGACACAAGTAGGAGAGATATACCTCCACCATTGATTTCACTAGAAATTGAAATAGAATGGAGTTTTACATCCCTTTCAGATATTTTTGGGCTAATGAAGTTCTCTATAATGCGGAGTTGACAAAAAACTAGAGAGTGAAATAGAACGGTTTCTATTGGACTATTGAAGGCTATTAGAAATGAAATGGCATTTTATATCCTGCTTTCTGCTTCCCCCCCACCCCATCCCCCTCCTAAAAACCTGCTGTTAAAGTAAATGGTGGCAGTGTACAATGAGAAAAATTTGTGGTTTAGTGGACATCAGCAAACAATTTCAAGTCTCACGTTCGTCTTCTAACCAAAGAACTTCTTAAAAAAAAAAAGAAAAAAAAAGTAACATGCAAAGGCAGTATGGTGTGGTTAGCTATGGTCTATTTTTAACTTTGGTTTGAATCTAACACCACACTTCAAACAATCAGGCTAACAATTTGGTTGGAGATTTATTCAAGCCATCTGGCCTAGCAACGCAAGCCGGCAACAAACTTCAAAACACATGATATATATCACATTGGGTGCATTTTCTAACCATCTGGCTGCAACAGGTATAGCAAGCACGCAGCTCCACCCTTCCAACATAAAATTATATTCTAATTTCTGGGTAATTATGGTTAAATTAGCCCTTGCCTTAGACAAAAACCAGACTTCAGAGATGTGAAATTTAATATATTTGTTCTCAAGTTTAAAGATAAGTGAAATTGGACAGAAATTGAAGTTTTATACATAACAGAATGTCTGGTTATCTATATTGGCATCTTCTGAATAATGTAATGGTGTTTAACTTCTTACTATTATTCAAAGTAATCAAGGTAGTGCCATGTAGTGTGCAATAAGGGAAATATTGCTCAGACAGCATCATTAGCCTAGTCTTTATAAATTTCCTAAAAAGAAATGGAGCTATATTTCCTAATAAACTGTTCCCTGTTCCTCATCCAAGTAATAAAAACAGACAATGCCATGCAGTATGCAATAAGGGAAATTTTGCTGGGACAGTGGCATTAGCCTACTCTTTTTCTGTATCTTGAACTAATGAAATGAATTAAATGTAGTTTTACATCCTTCTTTTCTGCTAATGATTGAACTAATTGGCTTGTTATGACCAATGAAGTCTTCATAATAACTCTATGAGAGAAAGTAACTGAAAAACTGCTACACTACATTATCTAATTGTAGTAGAACATAATGCAACATTTTGCACGACTGTATCCCTTTAACTAATTCAAATTCTATTAACAGAGAGTTGATTTATTTGAATGTTTACTTTAACTGAGAGTTAACTTTCCTTTTATCTAGTTTACGTAAGATAGGATTCAAAACACTCTACAACGAATAATTCGATTGGCAAACCTCCATACAACATTCACACAAAATCATGGTATTCTTAAATTGACCACCCAACGAACGGATGTACAAGTTAAATTGAATAAATAAACATTAAGCAATGTGGACTCCCACAAATAGACTCAATTTGTTTGATGACTTTGCATCTTTCAATGATAGTTTTGTACCAGAAAGTTATATGAATTCCAAATGCAAATTTTGTGTTTTTCGTTTATTTTTTCAAGTTTCAAAAAACACGATTAGCAATTGTCCATTTAAGTCCAGTGCATTCTTGAGGCCGCCATTTTCCATCCAAAATGGCTGATCACTTTAATTAGCAACCGTTATAGGATATATGTAATATTCAGTAAAGTCCAAACTAGCACCACCATTTTCTATCAAAATGGCTGACCATGATGGTTAGCAACAGGTGTGAAAAATCAACCTCTCTAGTTACTCGATACTTAAATAAATAGTGAGCAATCTTACCATCAACTTTACCTACTATTATACCGTGGCCAAAAACTACAATCAGTAATTGGTTGAGGTCTAACAACCAACAGATACAATACATATGATGGTAATAACAGAGTTAGCTGGCTAATATTGTTAGATTAGCTTTTACTAAATTGCTTTAGTAAAATGGCCAAATTGGTTTTTACTTTGAGTAATGTAGCAAAAACTAGCCTTACTTTTGGTAATATGGTTACATAAGACTTACTTTTGGTAATATGGTTATATTAGTTCATGTGGCTAAATTAGTTTTACTCAGGGTAAGTATTTTTTGGAGAAAAAGAGCTAAAATAACCTTCAATACTTTGGGTAATATTGCTAAATTATCCTTACTTTGGCTCATGTGGAGCTATTTGGATAAACAACTATGTGTTCAAGAAATTTTAGAATCACCTGATGGTACTTCTTGTTTGAGAGGCCGCTACTAAACAATTCTTGCTCTCCCGATTTTGTCATGCTTTGGATGAGATCTTTGGTTAACGTAACTGTTTAGCATGCATGGTTATTATTACCCATAATTCAGTAAAGAAATGAAAGAAATTAGATTTAGATAAGAAAGCGAGATATTTTTCTATTTTCACCAGAAACTGTAGGAGTTTAGATGAGCACCAGACTTGACATTTTCAGGTTAAAAACGTTAAAATTAGACATGTGCTTGTCAGCTGCCGTGATCCTCAACTTTCTCAACAATTGTTCAATTTCTTCAAAAACTTGTTTTCTGCCATATACCTGCCTGCCTGCCTGACTCACTGCCATGATGAAAGAAGAAATCGGTTCCACACAGATTTTCTCCATCAAAATTGTTCTGCCTGGCAATGTTCATTCTGAATGTATATCCTCCACGAGATTCCAAGAATTTTTTCATGCAATATACATTATTTTCTACATCGGCCATGACTTGCAAACTGATTTGACAGACACAAGTGCATAGTGGTGCCAATCAATGAAAGCTAAGAATTTTTTGATTGATTGATTGAAGAAGTACTACAACCCTACAATAAATGATGGACTTTGAAACTAAATAGTGATACAGATAGCTAAAAATGTCCTTTTTGCACCTGATGGGGCTTATGAAGACAGACAGAAGGGAATTTTACCAGGACAGCAGCATTAGCCAAGCCTCTAGAATTTCCATCACAGATGATTTGTTTGATGGATCTTTAAAATACTAAAATAGAAGGTGTTTTCTCAACATTTCATGTGAAGTTTTTTCCTGTGTTAAGAATCAAACAGTAAACAAGCCATAAAATAAGTGAACTCTCATCTCACTAATGATAAAAACAGAAGGGGAGTTAACTGCTGTAGAATTCTGACATAATTATGATTCAAGGAGGATATATTTATATTTTGAACACAGGTAGAATCAAGTCAAGATATTTTCATGTACATCTGGGTATGATTTAAACATGAGAACATGAGAACATGAGAACATGAAAACATGAAACATGAAAACATGAGAACATGAGCAGTCCACTTTCTAAAGAATTAAATAGTCAGTAGTAATTGAAAGTATACAAGCTAGACTTATATAGTGATCTTTTACTACTTTAACTACCTTAAAATATGATAGACTGTAAAGTAACTGTCTTGCTTGACTGTCTGTCATAGCTCAAATTCCAACAGGCAATGCCAGGCAGTGTTCAATGAGGGAAATTTTGCTAGGTCAACAGCTATAGCCAAGGCGTTTTCAATATCTAACCATTGAAGCACCTGTACAGCCTGTAGCATACAGGGCCGCAGTTTAATGTTCCATCTGAACGACTAGATGCTTTTTCCATGGCAGCCTCTCCAACCTGCATCACGGAGATTTGAAAAACATCACTAGTCTTTAAATTGAAAGATGATTTTCCATAATTGGCATTACATCCCACAATTCCATGCTTTCTCATCCGTGACCCTTTCCCAATAAAAACCAACGTAATGTAAACAACGACCAACAGCTAAAATTCTTTGAATCAATAATAAGGTTGACGTCTGCTAATTTAAAGTCAACAAGGGAGATAATTCAATTACCACAAATTAAATTACTGCTGCTCTAACTCAGGCAATGATTCAACAGCTTAATTGAGAAATTTCTGTGGTTTGGTTTTCATGTTATTTTATCAGGGCTACTGATAGAATATGTCAGTTTAGTAACAAAATGGCTTACTAAGATCCAGTCATGAATGGCAGAACCTGTTAAATGACTGGCTTAGAATTTGGGAATCTTAAGTGGCACAAAGTCATTGATGTTTAGATTCTTAAAGTTTGGTTGCTATGTATTTTGATCAGGGCTACTGAAATGACAGAGTTAACCAGTCGAGTAACAAAATGGCTGATACAGGCTTTAAAACGCTCAGCTAAGTTATTTGGGGTCCATTAAGTTTTAGAACAAAGCTTGCCTGTTTTGCCGATAACCTGCCATGGCTGAATGCATTGAGTCTTAGAATAAAGCTCTTTTTGAAGGAGATATCATACATTGTTACCAAAAACTGATAAATCTGTGTAAAAAAGGAGAAATTATTCAACAATTCTTCGTATTGTTATTTTGATTCTCCCTCTTTAACCAAGAATAGAGTACTTGAAGAAATCAATCTAGACCTGCATAAAAAAACATCACAGTCCAATATGAAATATGAGCCTAATCAAATCTAAGTTCTGTTGGAAATCAAGTCAAGCTTCATAAATAAATCCAAATTAAGAATTCCATTAACGATAGATTTTTTAGCTCAGGAGAAAAAGTGACTAGAATTTTGAATCTCATACATTTTAAAAGAGAGATAAAAGAA